TCAGCTCCCAATATCATTGTGATTAGTAGCTGTCTAAGTCGAACCTATCCTTAACATAAGGGATTCAGCAAACGGGGTTCATTGTGATCTCCTGTGGGTACTGAATCATTATCATCCGAACCAATAGCTGGACCACGGTCTTCGGACGCATTGTGCAATCTGCTGTATTGTGGTTCCAACTACCTCTCTCCAATCCAAAAGGCTAGCAGAGAGAATAAAGTAAACAAAAACACTTCTTGTCGCCTGCGGTATTACAGGCAAACTAGAGACAATTGTAAAGCGTGTGTATGTGTGTGAGAGAGAAGAAAATAGAATATTAAGGATACCTAGTTTGTAATTTATAGGACAATATATCATTATTTTGTTATTTTAAAAACTCCAGTGTCTAAATTGTTTCTGAAGACGCCTGCCCAGTGCACAAACCCTATAAAAAGTCTCGTGATTCCTAACACTCAAAAATCACGAAACGTCTCAATATTTTCGATTTCTGGTTCCCTTCGGGTCGCCACCGTGCTCAGAAACAACGCTCTCGGGTTTATTTGTATAGTTACACCAATGCTCTCGGAAGATTTCGTTAGGGTTTAGTTGAGGTCGACGTGCTAGAATCTGTCGTGGGAAGGTAGTCTCGACGTATCGAGTTGCCCGGCAGAGGAGAGTACGCGACGGAAACGTCACCACAATGAGATGGGCAAAGATAAGCGGACGGAGATAAGGTTTTGATACAGTTAAGGGCAGGAGAGGAACCTCCTGTCCGAGTTAAGGATGTGGTGCCCAGCTGTCGCCCAATACCCTGGGGAAGCGGCCGTGGAGGATTTCTAAAAGTTACCTACCGATTCACCAAGGAACGCTCTCGATTTGGTTTAAAGGGACGACTCGAGGGAAAAGAAGAATTATCGGCTATAAGGATCTCGAACAATCAGAATATCTAGTTCTCAAATTTGGCGATTATCAAAGTAGTCTGTCTCGGGGCACTGACTGTATAATTGTTTATACTAGTTTTGCTTTGTTGTGTAATCTGCAAGATGAAAACAACGCCACCAGAGAATCACCATGTCGAGACAATAGATCATTTTATCTGTACTTGAGAATTTTAAACATTGATGCAGTGCCCTTGTGTTTTTGTAAGATTTGATCACCCTTTTGTAGGCTATGGATGTCAAGTCATAAGCTGCTAATTGCCCGGATTTATCATTCATCCAGGACGTGAACGTGACACCTGTGTTCCATCGTAGTAAACAATGTTGCTTACTCTGAGACACTACTTGTCGTAACTTAATGCTAAAGCACAATTGACTCAACGAGTGCAACTGCCCGGTGAGTTGAATTTCTTATGAAATAACCCACGCGGTTGCTCTGCCAAGAAACCGTGATGGTGTAGAGACCCAAAGGCAACAAGCCAAAGCTTACAATGAATCAAAGGCACTATGCTGAATAAACGAACACCGTGATTAGGGATTAAATGTATTTATTGATACGTGTACTTACTCAGTAACAGGAGTTGATTCACTTAGGCACACTCTTTCACACACTATCATATACTATATCTCACCTGGCCCTGTCTTAGCTTATATATATTGGCGGTCTCGTCCCTCTTTTTTTAGTGGGAGAAGGCCCTCTCTTGCCTCCGTCTCTTCCGGGGTGGGAGTTTGGAGTTCTTTTGCGTTCTTTTGATGTTTCGTATTCATCACCGACCGAGGTGTCACGAACTGGCTCGCGCTCCCATCCCATCTGTTGATAATTTTTCTAGCTGTGTTTCGATACGGTATAGCAAGTTCTTGCTCATATAGTTCTCGCGTTGTTATCGCGATACCCATGAAATTCTATGCATTTTCTGTAAGTGTTCCAGAAGTGTAGTGCTATGTCCTAGTGCAGTGCCCACTTGAGTTTGCGCTTGATACAGCTCTCGGCTTTCACGGATTAGCTGTACCAGCTTCGATGAGGAATCCCAATTTATTAATTGCTGAAGGGATTTCGATGTGATACATCCAGTTCGTTCCGTTACTTTCTCGATTTGATGCTCTCTGCATCTCGCACTATTTGCCTGACACTTACTCCGACCCTCTCTACCTCAATCTAGCAGCCTGAGCGGCCGTGCATTTCCATAACAGTCCGCTCCCGTTCGTACATCCAGTTACGTTTGCTGATTTTACGCGACCCCAAAGATCAGCACCTACGGTTGCGTTTCACGATTTTACGCGTCCCCAAAAATCGACAGGATCCGTTAAGTTATCGCATTATCTGATAGATTCCGTCAGAGCTCTCGTTTTGGCGGAGTTGGGCCTGTTCCACCCCAATTCCCAGTTCATACCGGCTCGTCAGTTCCTGGTGAAACATGTATTGGCTGGCGCCCGTCTGGCTTGCGGATGCATAAGCAAAGGATGGGCGGCTGAAGGTAACGTAGGTTGATTCTCGATGATAGTTCATTCTCGGATTTTGCGTTATCGGTATCGAGTTAAGAAAAAAATACGTTACAATACATACTGTAACGTTATTCTTTTCCTTGACCCGACACCGATAGCAAAACGTACGAGAACGAACTATCTTCGAGAACCAACCTACGTTACCTTCGGCCGTCCACCCGTCGTTCGTACATCCGCAAGCCAGGCGGGCGCCAGTCAATTCTTTTTTCACCGGGAACTGACGAGCCGGTATAAACTGGGAGTTGGGGTGGAACAGGCCCAACTCCACCAAGAACGAGAGCTCTGACGGAACCGTTCGTGCATCCGCAAGCCAGGCGGGCGCCAGTCAATTCTTTTATCACCGGGAACTGACAAGCCGGTATAAGCTGGGAGTTGGGGTGGAACAGGCTCAACTCCACCAAGAACGAGAGCTCTGACGGAACCTGTCAGACGAGGCGATAGCTTAACGGATCCTGTCGATTTTTGGGGACGCGTAAAATCGAGAAACGCAACCGTAGGTGCTGATCTTTGGGGTCGCGTAAAATCAGCAAACGTAACTGGATGTACGAACGGGAGCGGACTGTTATGGAAATGCACGGCCGCTCAGGCTGCTAGATTGAGGTAGAGAGGGTCGGAGTAAGTGTCAGGCAAATAGTGCGAGATGCAGAGAGCATCAAATCGAGAAAGTAACGGAACGAACTGGATGTATCAATTCACGGCCGCTCAGGCTGCTAGGTTTGAGTATGAGAGGGTCGGAGTAGGAGCCGGCAAATAGTGCGAGAGACAGAGAGCGATGAACCGAGAACGTATCAGAACGAATCTTAACTATCTATTGAGATCCCTTCACCAATTAATAAATTTGGAGTCCTCACCGGAACTGTTGCAGCTAATCCGTGGAGGCCCAGAACTGTATCCAAAGGACACTCTGGGGAGCACTGCACTAAGGCATAGCACTACACCTCCGTAACACTCACAGGAATTCATAGAATTCCTGGATATCGCGAGAACAACGCGAGAACTGTACGAATCGAGAACTTGCTATACCGTAGCGAAACACGGCAAGAAAAACTATCAACAGATAGCACGGGAGTACGAGCCAGCCCGTGACATCTCGGTCGGTGCCCCGAGATAGACTGCTTTGACAATAGCCAAATCCAAGAACTAATCATTCTGATTGGTCGAAGCCTTATAACCGATAACTCTTCTATCGCCTTCGAGTCGTCCCTTTATACCAAATCGAGAGCGTTCCTTAACGAATCGGTACGTGTCTTCTGGAGATCCTCCACGGCCGCTTCCCCAGGGCATCGGGCGACAGCTGGGTAACACATCCTTAATCCTTAATCCATTAATCCTTAATCCATCCTCGGGCAGGAGGTTCCTCTCCTGCCCTTAACCGTATCAAAACTACCTCCGCCCGCTCTACAGCCCTTTGCCCATCTCCAGCGGGGTGCCAGTATCTCACCCGGGCTTCTGCCGATCCGTGGAGACGTCTCCGTCGGGTCGTCTCCTCTGCCGAGCAACTCGGTACGTCAAGACTATCTCCCCACGGCAGATTCGAGCACTTCGACCTCAACTAAACAATAACGAAATCTTACGACAGCCTTGACATAACTATACGAATCAACCCGTGAGCGTAGCTTCTGAGCAGGGTGGCGACCCGATGTGAACCAGAAATCGAGAACGTTATCTGTATCGGTAACCGGAGCCGCCTTGGGACCGTGATTCGAAAAATCACGTCACAATACATATCTATATCGGTTCATCCACGCACAATCATACACACTGCTTGAGCTGATTACATTTACTACTCACACTCAGCCATTGTAATGTACACACGATCAAAAAATTTACGTACATCTCACTACTAAGCAAATATCGATATCAGGTGAAAGAACGCTCAGGCCATAGCACGCATCGTACATCAAATAATCAACAGGTCACAAATGTTTGTAAACCAACCACTATCAAATTTTTAATATGGATATGATTTTACAGCATTCATCTGTTTACTCGAATCATTTCTAATACCAATTCTCTTTCTTTTCGTCGTGTACTCAAGATCTTGATCGTGATCGTCGCTCAACATGCAAGGAATAAGCAACGGAACAACAGTTGGATGTGCTTTAACAGTTTAAAACGGCAAGAATCTAAAAATTAATTTAGATTCACCCTCCACCTTCATTCCTTCAGTCTATGACGTGTCGGAACTAACAGATTATTTCATCATAACAAGTCAAACTATGTATCTTTCTTATAATTTTGGAAACTAGTTTATCCTATGACTGTTTTTTACTTTTCACTCAACTCGTTATCTGATAGCAAAATACGTGTACTTCACTTCTTATGAGTAAATCTATTCGTTCGATTGGTGTTGTTCTCCAGCTGTGATCGTCATTATACTAAAGGATCAAGGAACTCAGACATAACTCAGCTTCTACTGGCAAAAATCAATACCTTCACGTGACCTTAGATTGAAACACTTATGTTCACTCCTTGAACCCACGGCATACGGCCATGAACGCATTGGTTGTAAAAATAGCAATTGTTTCAGTTAAAGGAGACTAACGATAAAAAAATACCATTAAATACTTATATTTGAATTAAAAACTATTTAAAATGTTTTTCGTAAATTGAAATCGAATAAAAGTTATGTAATTAGATCTGTTTCGTTTGAAATATATTTACTAACCACACCTCATCTGTGTATGCCTTCAGGATGATGTATAGTTGCCAATTCAAAAGTACAAGTCAATATGATGCTCTTTTAGTAAACATACACATGTTCGGAAGGGGGGCAACGTCCCACCCTGCTAAAGTTTTTCTCAGCCATCTTAAATAATCATATCGAGCTATGATTGAATGAATATTTACCTGTAAATTCGGTCTTGTACTAACGAATCCATTATTGTGCCATCAATTTCTCCAAAGAATTTTCCAGTATGCTCATGCCTTTCGCTGATTATAACGAAGCCACTATTATCCAGGATATAGCAATCAAGCTCTTCTGAAGCACAATGCTTCTTGCAACCTGTCATTCCAGTGCACTGTAACACGTATAAATGATAATCTTATAACATTTCAAATGTTTATTATAGAAATCAATGTAGGAAATAAAAACAATATTATCTTTTGAGTTGTCCACATATCCGAAAAAACATTTCCGATATTAAAAAAAGAGGAGCAAAGTGCATATAGCGGTTTCAGAAAGTTGAAAAAAATTTTGAAATTAGTGTTTGGTGCCAAGTATGATTTCATGAAAAAAACGTTTCACCTTGCACCGTAACTATATTACATAGATATTTGTTAGTATAAATATTCGTCATTTAATTCTCATTCAATACATAAGATTTAATGTATTAATCACCAATTGCGTAATTATTGTTATCGGTGACAATTTCCATATTGAGTATCTCTAGGTGGGGTCATGTCTCGAGACATTTAATGAACATTTAAAATGATACGAGAATGATGATCAGGCTTCCAACCCATAAAAAAGAATTGTTTTACGACATATCGACTCAGTTTTAGGCCTTCTTTAGGTATTTATTAGTCTGTCTAAAATATTATAAAATTGAATGTTATAATCAATATCAAATTTTGGTTAAGTGTGAATTAATATTAAGTTCTATGGCCCACTAATGCTAAATTTTTTAAATAATTTTCAAGTGGCAACTATATTAGAAAATTATCACTTTGTTGTGAAGATGAAAAGACACATAAGACTCATGTGAATGTTACGTAGGCCGCAGTGACTAGCGAGACCTTTAAATTTGATAATGGAAATTTAGAAGTACCCAAAAGAAAAGGAACGACCATAGGTAACGTGAATAAAAGTTGAGTGAATTCCGAGCGGTAAGAATACACTCAATGGTGGGTTCGCTGCTCGTTCAAGGTATTGAAACATGTCTTGCTATTCCAACGTGGGGTGATATTCCCTGAAATGCTTACGGATGGGTGATACGTATTTAATACGCGAGGAAATTTGGATTTGCGATATACAGTAACGTCCAATTAAGTGGAACACTTGAATTTTTGTGTATTTCTGGGAAACTCTGACCGATTTCAAAAAACCAACGACATATTTTTTAGGAAATTTACTTCCCGTTCGAATAGTAAAGCTTTTATCTCGATTGGATATCAAATGGCCGAACAGCAGGGAATGGAGTAAAATAGTGCATTTCGAGACTTTGTTGAAAAGTGCGAGAACTGGAAGGAAATACATATTTCTAACTATACAATAGCACGAGAAAGACTTCGGCAGTAAAAAAAAACACTTTCATTACACACCTGTAGCATCATTCTAAGAGGAGCTGCACCCCTTTGAAGTGAAATCACTTAATTGACCATATTTCCGAACGTACCAAAAAAATCCTAGTATACTCCATTGTCAGCGCGAGTTATGATGATTACAGGAGTCTTACCGATAAGATATAGAGACACCAGAAACCGAGGTGTCTTTATACAGTACGATCGAGAGGAAACCAGTAAGAATTGACAGCTGAATCGAGCAGCATCACTCTCATTAATATTCATTTAGAGTTAAATTGATTTCTCTAATCCTTTTTAAAAAGGATAAATTCACATTCTACAACATAATTGGCATAGTCGGTAGGACACTGAAGAGATTTTACGGAAAGCATCGTGACTATCCTTGAGGAATCCCTTAGTATCAACTATTAATTCAGAAGAATCTACAGACCCAGGAAACTGAAAGGAAGCGGAGGGTAGGACTACGCACTGAAAGACACAGGTCAGTCATCTTTTAACCTCACGAATCCTTCGTTAACTGACGTGAAGTACACACATAGCTAACATGGCTAATCCACGAGAAATAGATAATACAGGCACCATTATGGCAGCTACGGAAATATGTAGAATAATAGAAACATTCAGTGGTAAAGCAAAGGAACTAGATATTTTCATTATCGAGATGGATCAATACCACAGCAAATATGAAGCTACTAGGGATCAAAGCTAAAACGAATATGTATACTGTACGATAAAAAGCAAATTATTAAAGAAAGGGGTGAGACTTTGTTAGAAGTCGGCCAGACTTGAGAAATAGGTCCGAACTAAGAACCGCTCTTACGGAACAATTTGGAGATAGGGCAAATCGCGAAATATTGACAAACGAATTGCAATTAACGCGAAGATAACATAATGAAGACATGTTGAGTTTCCTTAATAGAATCAGGAAATTGAAGGCTAGAATAGGTCTTAAGATACAAACAGATCCTCTAATGGGGGTAATGAAAGATGTGGCAAGAGATTATGCAGAAAGCATGGCGATCATGGTATTGAAATCCATCGCACCATCAGAACTATATGCAGAACTTAGACTTGGCAAACCGACAACGTTGAATAAAGCCGCGAATATAATCACAGAATATATGACTCAGTAGAAACAGGTTAATAGCTTGCGAGGTATTAATACACAGACGTATAGAAAACCAATTGTACCGTCCCGCCCAATACAAGGAAAGCCACATGTAAATAACCAATGGCAACAACAGTCGTCATTTTGGAATCCTGTGAATACCGCGCAATACCAACCAAACATGTATGCACCAACGTATAGACAATCGCGAGCTACGAACTTTTCATCACAGCCCATTAACATACAGCCTATACCTAGGGCACCGTAAAGATTCCCCACTAACTCACAGGTATTTGGATAGCCCATTAATGCCTTCGCGCTCGGTAGCAATAAACCGTAAAATCCAGTTACACAGATGTCAGGAGTTTCCAAAATACCATCAACAATAAATAAGAAACCATTCGCGCCTTCCGGACAGAATGCTCGGCATTACGTTCCTGGAAATTAGATCTTTAGAGCTACTGAACCTCCTCTTTCATAGCCGAAGAACTGACAAATATAGAACATCAAAAACAAGATAATTATTATTATCCAAAGACGGAGACATTTCACGGTTACGAAGAATATTCAGAGAACATGCAGTTCTCGACCGAAATAAGTGCTGAACAAACTGAAGCACCCACAAGCCAGGATTTTCACAAGGACCAAAGACAAAAACTAAAGGAATAGAAATTAATACAGTACTCAGAAACTCACTACCATATATAGAAATTGCAGAGCCATACGTGAAACTGTTGATAGATACAGGATGTCAAGCTTCCATCATGCGACCTATAATAGCGGAACAGAACTTCCAACATCAGATCTTTCGTAGTAATACAGTAATAACTACGTGTACAGGGCAGCAAACGGCGAGAGATAAAGCCAAAATTCCTAAAAAAAACTTACGTGTAAAAAACTACGCCAGCTGCAGGAGTGCCGTGTATTTCTCTAATAAAAGGTATATCAGATTATTGAGGCCAAGTACATAAGTCACTACATGTTTGCCTATTATATGATCTAGCACTGGCCCATCGTTTTAATTGTATTTTCAAAATTTCCTATAACGTTTTCACTACTCTGTTACATTACTACTGCTTCCCGTGATTGATTATGATTGAATGGTGATTTAATAATTAATAAAACTTTAGGTGATTCCTTATCGAGTACTACTTGGCGGGTCCGTGCCAGGAATTCCAAAGATTTCCTATAACGTTTTTGCTACTTTTTTATGTTACTACTGCTTCCCGTATTTAATTATGATTTAATGGTGATTTAATAATTAATAAAACTTTAGGTGATTCCTTATCGAGTACTACTTGGCGGGTCCGTGCATTTCTTGATATAAATTTGGTACAAAACCAGTACCAATTTTCTATAGAAAGCATATTAACAATAACTCGTCAAAAATAATCACGGTAAAAGCTTAATAACAAACATAAAGCATTAGAATACTATGAGCACGTCCAAAGTAAGTACTTTGGAATTCCTGGCATGGACCCGCCAAGTAGTACTCGATAAGGAATCACCTAAAGTTTTATTAATTATTAAATGCCCATTAAATCATAATCAACTACGGGAAGCAGTAGTAATGTAAAAGAGTAGCGAAAACGTTGTAGAAAATGTTGAAAATACAATTAAAATGATGAGCCAGTGCTAGATCATCTAATAGGCAAACATGTAGTGAGTTATGTAGTTGGCCTTAATAATATGATTTCAATACTTTTTGTTAGAGGAATTCATAGCACTCCTGTACTTGGCGTAGTTTTTTACACGTAACTGTTTTTTTGGGGGATATCACAAGCTTTTGTTGCTCAGTGGAATGTAGAAGCTCTAAAGGCCATTCTACAATGCAATATAATAAGAAATAAGCAATAAGATCTTCAATTGATATTTACCTAATTCTATTGGATCCTCCAATCAAGAAGGAGAAAATCGTTTTTAAAACGAAGCGTTTACTAAGTTTCTACGATTTTTGTGACGTCTTGGACATAGCAACGATACGGAAAAGGTTGCTAGGGTCTTTAAGGACTTCACGGAGCAAGAAACGTGATGAGTAACATCGAGCATGCCCCGTTCCGTAATTTATAACGGCTTACGTTAAAAATACATAGCAACGATACGGAAGCGGTTGCTAGGGTCGCTAAGGATTTCACGGAGCACGAAACGTCATTGTCAAATGTCATTACCTGTCACCTGTCATGATCTGTTAATATATAAATATTAAAAAAAATGTGCATGCGTTTATTCATACAGATAAGTAAATCATTACTTCATTTTTAAAGTCAAGATGACTTTTATGGTAGAGAAATGTCATTTCTCTAACGATATTGATAATGATCTCATCTATGTTCGCCATAATGACAGATGATGGCGGAGCATGCTCGATGCTACTTATCACGTTTCGTGCTCCGTGAAATCCTTAGCGACCCTAGCAACCGCTTCCGTATCGTTGCTATGTATTTTTAACGTAAGCCGTTATAAATTACGGAACGGGGCATGCTCGATGTTACTCATCACGTTTCTTGCTCCGTGAAGTCCTTAAAGACCCTAGCAACCTTTTCCGTATCGTTGCTATGTCCAAGACGTCACAAAAATCGTAGAAACTTAGTAAACGCTTCGTTTTAAAAACGATTTTCTCCTTCTTGATTGGAGGATCCAATTGGTTTGAAAAACGATTTTC